AGGAGAAGGAGAAGGAGAAGGAGAAGGAGAAGGAGAAGGAGAAGGAGAAGGAGAAGGAGAAGGAGAAGGAGAAGGAGAAGGAGAAGGAGAAAATAATGAGGAAGAGACAACAGAGAGTTCTCTTTCACAGCATGCATAGAGAAATCATGTGAGGACAGAGTGAAAAATGCAGCCATCTGTAAGCCAAGAAAACTGGCTTACATCCTCACAGTACCTTGAGTCCGGGCTTCTAGCCTTCAAAACCGAGAAAATATCAATATTTAAGTCACCCAGTCAATGGTGCCTTATTATGATAACCTGAGCTAAGAGTTATACAGATGAAGTAAGGAATTCTGGGGGTTATCCATCCTCAGAATTATTGAAAAGTTTGAGGAAAAACAAGATAAAGTTGTCAGAACTCTAGTAGACCAAATTTTACTTAACCAGAAGAAGTCCACTGAAACACAGAAAGGAAGTTTTGTGGCCTTTAAATGTACCCTTGTTCCATCCTTCTTCCAGTGGGTCAGTGATCTTGAAGACAACAGCCAACATTTCCACTGTGCTTCTATGGTGCTGAAAGGAAAAGTGCAAGCATCATTCACAAGAGATAGTGCTTGCTTTGATCTATCTGGGGATTCACTGAAGAACTGACACCTGGTGCTTCACTTTGTCTCATGCAATTCAGAACTCTCTCACAGTGGAGTGCTTATGTCAAGTTCCTTCTTCAAAAACAATGAAAACAAGCCACTGCCACCTGGGATAAAAACCTTCACAAAAACAGTTGGAGCAAATGATGGACACACTAAAATTTGGCCCCCCAAAAATTGTAGGATGTGAGATGCGTTTGGGTAAGAAGCATTTTGAAAAGTCCTTATGTAGACCAGATGAACAAGAATGTCACACACAGGTTGAGGACAGGGTATATGCTCAAAAAAAGACCTAAGAAGAATATAAGCTTTCACTTCTAAGTTGATTTCTAAGTTCACAGCAAGAAGGAAGTGAAGGTTAGGGCAAAATTATAAACCACCTGGCTGAAGTTGAAGGAGTGCCTCAACACAAAAACAAGCTTCAAGGACCCGGAGAAAATATTCTTTTTCTTTTGTTATCTCTTCATCTCTTCCTTGTCTCATTTCTTGTTTTATATTTTAGCTCCAGGAGTTCAAGGAAATCTCTGTCAAATGACAAGTTGACCACTCAACTAGAGGAAAACAATTGTTGGGCCAGGGATGTAGCTCAGCAGCATAGCACCTGCCTAACAAGTGCAAGTTCCTGAGCTCAATTCCTGGTTAAAAAAAAAAACCAAAAAAAAAAAAAAAAAAAAAAGGAAAGAAAAAAGGAAAAACAGACCTTATGTAGCACTCATGGCAATGAATTTAAACTTTATACATAAAAATAATTTAGAAAGTCACTAAGCAAAAAACTCACTGCAGTCAACAAGAATCTTGGAAAGGAAGAAAATCTGAGTAACCACACAATAAGATTCAAAATGTCCGGTTTTTAGCAAAAAAATATTATAAAGCATGCAAAGCTAAAAGAAAGAAATTAAGAGAAAGTGTTTCCAAGAAAGCAAAGGTATTGGACTTACTATATAAAGACTTTAAATCAATATTCTAAAAATAACCTCACAGAGCTAAAGGAAAAATATGAACAGAGAACTAGTGAAAATGAAGGAAACTAGTAAAACTAGTTTCAGGAAATAGAGGCTACCAATAAAGAAGTAGAAATTATAAAAATAAACCAAACCGGAATTCTGTGCCTGAGAAATGCAACAACCAGAATGAAAACAATATTCTAGAGTGACTCAATAGCAGATCTGAGCAGGCCGGCAAAAAATCAGTGAAATTGAATCCAAGTTAGCAGACCTATAAAAAAAGAATGCTGCCGCAAGAAGAGCCTAAGAGACTGTGGTACACCACCAAACTGACAATATACACACAGTGGAAATTCCAGAGGAAAAGAGAAAAAGAAACAGAAAGAAGATTTGAAGAAGTAGTGGTTTAAAAATTTTCCAACTTGGTAAATGTAAATCTATACACCTAAGAAGCTCCAAAAATCCCCAAGTGGGATGGTGTATTTAAAGTGCTGAATGACAAAAAAATCTGTTCCATATTCAACGAAACTGTCCTTCAAAATGGAGAAATAAAGACATTACCAGATAACGAAGACCTGAAGGAGTGACTCATTAGTAGATCTGCCTTACAGAAATGCTGAAAGGAGTAGTTCAGCTGAAATGTAAGGATAATAAACATAACTTGAAGCCATATAAAGAAACAAAAGCATCAATAAAAGTGATTGTGTAGGTAATTATAAATTCAACAATGTTGTAATATTTTACTGTGTGCTTCTAGGTTTTGTGTCCTTTACTCTCTTTTATCTTTTTGCTGCTTAAAAGTTTTCATATTTGTGCATAGGTTTCATTTTAGTTAGCACATTTATAGGTATGTGTAGGTGGAGATATTTATACATATATATACAAATTATATATATATATATATATATGGTAACATTCATCTAAGTGGTCAACTTGCTCAAATATCAATTTTTCCGACCTTACCTTGTTTTACAGATTTAACTTGGAAACTATGCAATAGTTTACATAACTGTAGAATAAAACTAAATGATATTTTAAAAGAACTCTCTAGAAATAAAAACAAAATTAATGAACCTGGATAAAAAAAGCTTACTTTTGATCAGAAAACAAATAGAACTTTATGTGTTTTTCACAAAGATCTTGCTACTAAGTGCATTTGCTTTTATTTGCTCACAAGAAAAGAAAGGTTACACATAAAAGAGATATCCAGAGTCCTACTTTCTGCTAAACATCACAAGGAAGCAAAATGTGGCTATTTCGCTAATATAAGACATTCAGAAATCATAGTCATTACTGCATCTCCTTTTAACTAGATCAAAGGATAATGCTACTGGTACTTTTGATACAAACTTTTTTAGGCTTCGCGAGCCAAAGAGACCCATCCAGAGAAAGAGTAGCTACGAAATATTCATTTCCATCTTCTCAGCAAGGGGGTAGGAGTGGAGAAACTACAAGGTCAAGCTCTGATTCTGAGTACTTAACAATTTGTAAGAAAAATTTGCATTGTTTTGAGTTTTAGTAACTACATCTCTTCTCTAAATTAGACATCTTATTTTAATATAGAATGCTTTAATTTTATTTTTGTTCCTTAGATGAAGAGATTTAATATTACAGAAAAAGCATACCTGAAAGTGAAAGTGATCTACACTCCTTTCAACTGAATTAATCTCCTTAGTGGAAGTCTGGCTGCATAAACCAGGCACAAACATCCTGGCCCTGCTATCTACCGGCAGCACCCTTGTAGGTTTCTCAGCACCTGGTCCTTGCAGTCAGTGCACTTAGCTACAAATAACAGGTGACTTTGATCAACTCCATCAAAACATAACTCACCCGACAGTGTGCAATATGTTGAAGAATTGATAGGGAGGCTAGAGAGGCAAGAGAGCAAAACAGGCAAGAACAGAGAGAAGCTAAGGTGCCAGAAAGCCAAGGTGGTACCGACAGAAAACATCTGGATATATGACAGCTGCCACCAACACTCCCAGTGGAACGAATTTCGAACTCTCCTAATTCTTCTCATTACTACAGTTCTGGAAGAATGTCCTTATGTTTGTGCTTTTGCTCCAGCTGCCAAGCATGACAGAGAATAAATCTTTCAGCTTTTCATCTTTTAACACTGTGGATTTCTCAAACACAGGAAGGAGTCTCACAGGGTAGGAGGCTAAGGATCAACCTATTTCCATTATAGCCCACGCAAAGAGAAAGTAAGTGTTAGAATTTGGGTAACATACAATTACATACTCCTTTTTCAGGTAAGAGGAGCCAGTCTACAGAAATAGTGTTGAAGAAGCTGGTACATCCATGAGACTCAGATGACAAGGAAACCAAATTGGCTACTTACTATTTCCAGAGGATCTATTATCCTAACCTGCCTCCCTTTAATAGAGAGCACTTCAAGCAGTACATCTATCTCCCTGAGAGAAGGTGAAATGAAAGTGGGTTTCAGTAATAAAATATAGAGTGTAGACAATGGAGTGGTCATAAAAGGTTAAAAACTGGCTCTCTTGGTTTAGAGAGGCAGCCCTGATTTGTAGCTCTTACCAATCTCTGTGATGTATATATTCCCACCATAGCTGATTTGAAGGGTGATCGTGTTGAATGTTAAACTTAAAATTTCTGAAAATTTAACAATTAGCTTCCATGAACCAGTATGAGATAGTTTTGGCATAAAACGTGTTTAAGAATATAAAGACCAGGATGGTAGATGAAAATTAAACTGCTAAGAGGATTTGTGAAAAGAAAAAGAAAAAAGGGAGACTTTATTTTTAAATATATTTATTGCAGTATTTGAAAAAGAGAAAGGAGAGACATTAACTAATTTCTAGAAATAAAGCAATAATTTCTAGAAATAAAACAATAATTTCTAGAAATAAAACAATTTTGTTTTTATTTCTAGAAATTAGAAATTAGAGACATTAAGTCGGAAATTAACAAGTAAGGAAGAAGGGAATTACAGAGTTAGAGTTTCACTGATGAGTTCTAAGAAATGGTAAAAAGAAAAGTTGCCTAAAATACATAGATAATTTCATGAAAACCAGCACTGAAAGTAATTACACCATCATTTTGTTTGAGAGAATTTATTTTAAGAGGTTTTAGGAAAAGCCACTTGGAGGGTTAGATATAGTTAACATCTATTGTTATAAAAATGCTGCATAAAACTACTCCAGATCATCATGGCTTAAAATATTAATCCTGTTACTATTGATCTTAGATCTGTGGGTTGTCTGGGTAGGTGTTTGTTTTTATTTTTGTTTTGTTGGCCTCCATTAGACTTACTCATACATCTTCAGTCATCTCTGTGGAGGATATGCAGCTCTGTTGATCTTGACTGAACTCTTTCACATATTTGAAAGGCATCTGGCATTTGGCTGATCTCAGATGGCCTGGATTCTTCCTCATGAGTTTTTCTCTTATCCTTCCAGCAAGCTAACCCAAGTCATATTCTTATATCGAGGCAAAGGTGGAAGAGTAAGCAAGCCCAATCATGCAAAAGAGCATGTAGAGACATAGATGAGATTGTCAAACCTTGGTTTATATCACATTCATTACCATTCTGTTAGCCAAAGAAAATCATCTGGCCAATGACTCAGAGTAGGAAGGTATTGTAAAATTAGAGGCAAAATATGTGAATGATGGGAGTCACTACTTGGAACAATTAATGCAGTCATTCTACCACACTAAGTAGTATGGAACCAAAAGTGGCCACAACTATCATGATCCTCTCATTCTTTATGGAACTCATAACACAGTATATGATGCAGAAGTGTTCATAGGCAACTGACGTACAATGAGGTACATGGTACAACAAAGGAAGTTCATAATGTACTTATTTCATATCAGTAACTCATAGAATTCTGTTTATGCATTGCTTTCAATGCTGTTCAAATCGTCCTGTGTCTAAAATTAAAAATGGCCTGATCTAGCTTATGAACTCATCAGTGAACTCATCAGTGAACTCATCAGTGAACTCATCAGCTACGAACTCATCAGTGAACTAATCCATTCATGGGATTAGCATCCTTTTTATCCAATCATTTCTCTAGGTTCCACCTTTGAACAGTTGATCTCCAGTGCTTCATTCAAGCCTTTAATACATGAGTCTTGGGGGGCCATTTCCTATTTATACCATAATACCATCTTTCATGGAATCCTAGTGTACACAAATCCACAGAAATATGGCCCTAGAAGTTACATTTGAACTGCATAACAGTATCCCAGGCCATTGTTGGTTGGTCTATGGCTTAATCCTAACCCAATCTGGGCCAATCAGATTTTTTTCCCTGGGATTTTTAGGTACTGATCTCTATTCTAGTACGTGACTGAACCAGTACTATCTAAACTTGGGAAAATGCAACTGTAAGTGACACAAAGGAAAGGAAGCCATTTGGTATCTAGAAAGACAAATAATACTGATATACAAAGGAAAATAGGCATGAAAAATTGATAGGAAATCATTAAAGCATTTCAATTTCTGGTCCAGGTTGATTCCATAATTTGATTTAGAGACAAGAAGTTAGTACA